TTCTCGTCAGGTATACCTCAATCTCTGAAAACTAAAGTGTACAACCAGTGCGTGTTGCCAGTGATGACTTACGGATCAGAGACGTGGTCCTTCACTGCTGGCCGTATGAGGACGCTCAAGGTCGCTCAGCGAGCTATGGAGAGGGCTATGCTCGGAGTTTCTCTGCGTGATAGACTCAGAAATGAGGATATCCGCAGTAAAACCAGATTGACCGACATAGCCCAACGGATTAGTAAGCTGAAGTGGCAATGGGCCGGCCATATAGCTCGAAGAACCGATAACCGATGGGGAAGAAAGGTTCTCGAGTGGCAGCCTCGTACCGGTAGGCGTAGTGTAGGGCGACCCCCCACTAGATGGAGTGACGACCTGGTAAGATATGCAGGAAGTCGATGGATGCAGGTGGCTCAGGACCGTGCTTTGTGGCATTACTTGGGGGAGGCCTATGTTCAGCAGTGGACTTGTGAAGGGCTGTGATGATGATGATGATGATGATGAATGATTTTAAATAGGTCTTGAAAAAAGGCAATCAATAAACTTCGATCTATGCAAATGTAAAATATTTTTAATTTACTTAGTTAGGAAAATTTAAGATTTCGATGATTGTTTTCTTTAGTTTGATAACGTTTATATCAAATTCACTATAGGAATTTATATAATTTAAACAGAACATGTTATGTGAAAAAGCCATTAACTTAAATTAAACTTATTCAGCTTACAATACGTTTGTATGTATGTCCAATTAATAACAATGATTCAACTTCATTATCAAAATACGTTTAATTCAACATCGTTAGTCAATTAAAAATAAATTGTGTTTTCTATGAAGTATTTAAACGCATTTTGTTATCAGTGATTACGAATCATTATTAATAAAGAAATATTTATATTAATTCAACATATTAATTATACGATCATAACTTCTAAAATATGAGATCGTAAATCACTTGCAGTGACACATATCAAACTGCCGTTAAACACCAGTATACTCGTATAATGTACATACCGCTGTATACCATTTAAAAAGAGGCAATGTTGGCTCGACCGGAGAAGTACCACGATCTCACAAAATACACCACAGAATATCAATGTAAAACAGCAGCACAATGCTGCTGTGTTTCGTATGATGAATGACGAGAACAAGAGAACTTTTGTAATTTTTGTAACATTACATCTTAGTCCTTATAGGAAAAACGCATCTGCATTTTGATTCTTAGAGGATAGATATAACTCTATACGTGGTAGAGCCATGCTGCAGTTATATTAGTAGTATAAATGTAACACGAATGGGTCGGCTCGACCGAGGAAGGACCACGCTCTCACAGAATACCAGCGTGAAATAGTAGCTTAATGCTGCTGTGTTTCGAATGGTGAGTGTAGAGAACCGGAGAATTTATTTTTTACTGGAATTTAGGCATTCCATCTTAGTCCTCACGGGTGACAACGCATCTACATTTTAATTTGTAATCAAGGATAGATGTAGATATCTATGGGCCGCAGCAACCACTTACCATCAGGTGGACTGTGTACTCGTTTGTCAGCCTATCCGATAAAAAAACTAAGTACTGGCTACAATATAGAAGTTATTACCAGACCATACCAAAAACGCCGTTGTAATCTTTTTGGTCTTATCACACATATTATTAGGTGTACTTACTTTTAACTCTTTTCTCATAGTAATATTATAAAAATATGAAGTTACAATGATATAAATCTTACTGGTGTCAAATTTATATTGAAAAGTACGACAGTTCAATGTTTATAGCTTTTATTAATTGTTTATGAATTAATTTGTAATCTTGATGCACTGCCATTTCCGAATCCCATTTGCTAGCAATTAAGAATAAAATTAAAATTGATGTTACATAAAAAAAAATTAACGATGTCGTGACTGCTGAGTTTGATCAATTTATCAAGATGCGAGGAAAAAGGTGCGATACGACAGCGATTGTCAATCAGTCTGTCAAATGATCTCCCTACAACGGGAAGATCTCATGTATATCAGAGGAACCAAGATCTCAGATCAGATCATCAGATCTCAGGCTGTAGAAATGTTATGGTATAAATGGGTAGACATAAGTAAATCGGATTTAAATATATAGACATTCGATGTCTTCTTAAACAAACAGCTACATATTTATGATATGTAAGTACCTATTTGTTTATGTTATGTTACAAGTTTTTCAAAAATATTTCGTATTTTTGAAAATAAATTGGTTCAAGTAATTGTTCATTAAATGTTTGAAGAATTGCTAAAGTTTAATTTTATCAACAGTAATAATCACCATCATACTAAGACACTCTATCTCATAAGTTATAATATCAACGATGTGTTAGCTTAATATCATTGATGTTAGTTTGTATTCGATATTTTAAATGTTCTGTGCATTTGAACTATGACATAATAAGTACCTAACATAACTAAACAGTTATACCAGGGGTCGTCGATGTCGTACGCTGAAGCTCGTGTTCGCTCGCAACCATCTTAGTCACGATTTTTAACATTATTTATCGATAATAGGGTAACTAAAAATGACGATATTATTGTGCGATATTTTTTTATTACTATCGTATTAACACAAAAACACATAATAAGACAATGTATAAAGTTCTGTGTACCGTAGTCGTGATTACTCAGGGGCACGAGGTGAGCTGACTCACCAAAATTTTATTTTAAAATATTACCCTCAATATCTTTTCACTAAAAATAACAATATTTATTTTCCAAAAATATGTACTTACTTCCCACAATTTGGTTGTCCTCGAGCTCAAGAAACATGCTAATATTGTGCGGGGCACTGATGTCTAAAGTAAGAACTAAGAATGAACCTGATTGATCACTTGCCCCCACGTGTCAATTGTCAATACAATCGTCGGTATTGTTACTTTCAACTTACATTACTGACGCTTTGCTCTGCAAGTGTAATATAGCCAGTATTTTTCAAGGTCAAAAAAGTTTTGTCCATTTGTATGGTCATATATATAACATCTGTAATTTAGAGTAAACGAGGTGGAAACAGTAATAAAAGCTCGACTCCATCGATAAAGATCCATTATGTGATATAAATTCTTCGATTTTCAATTACAATGGATGTTATACGTCCCACTAATTGAAATTTATTCACCGAACTTCAGATGTGTATCGGTGTTTGGAAGCACGCCGTTGCTACAAACTAATAGGTTTGTTTAACAATAAACACTATAAAATCATAATATATCAATGTCTATTTTGCTTAATATGATAATGTTAGAGTAATTTTAAGGAAAAATTAGAAAAAAATAGGTACTTTTTATAAGGCATTTAGGTTTAGGCAATGTGATATGTATATTCATAGTTTATTTTTGCAAAATAGTGACTTGTTGGAACTCCTATGGCTTACTTAGATAATGTAGGGTGTGTAATGTGGGCTAAAATACAATACATCGTTTTTTTTTTAATTCTGGGGTTTGATCGTTCTGTTACTTCGGACAGTGCAGCCTCGCCTAATTCCGATCTTATCGCGTAAGCGTTACTTCGTAGACAGGTAAGTGCCTCTGTGTATACATATACTAGGGTGGCCAATTTTTATATATTTAATCTTTTTTAATTTTTAATGGTATATTTTTGTTGCCTTTATTAAGAACCTGACGCCTTAGTCAACCTTTATTCAAATTTTAGCTTCGCGTAATATATATAATTTTAGTATTATATAATTCGGACCTCCAATATAGTTAAATTAGTATTTTATTATAGTAAAAGTTTGAATCCGTATGGAATACTACAGATGAATTTTAATAATCTGTTTTTTTCTTTCATCATAACGCCACCGCAATCCCCTTCGTGAGTGAAATTTCGTGAAATTCGTTCTCAGTTAAACTTCAGATGACAAAAATAATAATTTCGCCAAATTTTAAACCTTTAGGAGCTATAGATTAAAAGTTGAAACTTTTTTTATCTCCCCGCACTGCCTTTTGTGGGTGGAATTTTATAAAATCTGTTCTTGGTAATTTTGAACATGCAAAAAGAATATTCTGGGCAAGTTTTATACCTATAAAAGCTATAAGATACTATATTATAAATATAACAGGGTTGGCAACACTAGCATACGTTTATAGCACTGTAATATTTAAATATTATGCGCAGTGTTAGCTGCCGATAATTCGGAATTTATCACTGTGTTTGTAATTCGTTGAGAAGGACATTACCATCACGGTTTAAAAAAATAACTAAAAAAATAAAACCGAACTGAACTTTATTAACTTTTACCATGGAGCAACACGGGCCAATGGCGGACCGGAGGGGAGTAGCCTGTAAAACCTGCGTATGGCTAACCCCACCGGTCGTCGGCGTTCCCCTCTGTCAAAGTATAAGTCCACGCGGTCCTATATTATGTATAATTAAACTAGTTGCAGTTGCACTGCTCACTAGACTAAATCTAGTTGTGTGGCTGAATCGATGTCTTAAAAAAAAGCCCAATTGTTCAATTTTTCTGCAAAAAGGGAACTGTCGCGTCCAATTTACAAAAAGATGGTAGATAATTTTTAATCACATTATTTCTATTTACTTCTTTTTAAACTTAAAAATTACACTAATACCGGTCATATTGTTTCGAATTTGTTTACCAAATACAGGTTACTTGCTCTCATACAATAAGCAGGTTGTTTGAGCGACTGATTCGAGTCTGTATCCGAGTTATCGCTGTCAGTGTCACTGAACAATACTGTTATAGCTTAGACGTATCTATGTGTGTGTGAAATTGTTAATTTATTACTTTAATTGTTATATGTTAGTATCGTAGTGACAGACGATTGTTTAAGTGTGCACAGATTTCCCTCTGCAAAAAAATTCAGTTCTGCATTGGGAAAGAACGTTATGGCAACTCCCCTCGGGTCCGCCGGTCCTCTATGGCCTTTACCATTTAACAAATCCACAAAACCAGCCAGTTACATTTAAAAATCGTTTTAATCGATCTATTTAAAACTGGCCTTTAATGAAATTGCTAACGAGTTATATTGTTTCGCAGGCGATCGCACACGTATCCGGGGGACACATAAACCCCGCCGTGACATGCGGACTCTTCGTGTCTGGAGACATCAAGCTACTGAAGGCGATTTTCTACGTTGTGGCACAGTCGTTGGGCGCTGCGGCCGGGGCTGCTTTCATAAGGGTAATGTACCAATGTAATATTTAAACATAGTCTTTATGAAGGCGAAAAGTGGATTGCACAGGCCCGTCTGGCTACGTTGAATGTATGTGGGGCAATGAATGATAAAATGGATGAAGTATGCGATATGATGTATGATAGAGGAATAGATGTGTTATGCGTAAATGAGACGAAAAGGAAGGGGAAGGATGTCACTACACATGGCATGTATACCGCATACTGGTCTGGTGTAGACGAGATCGAGCGGGCATGCCAGGGAGTAGGTATCATCCTTTCAGAAAGAATGTGTAAGCCCAAGACTGCTATGGATACGAATGAAAGTGGGCTTAAAGAAGTTGTTTGTGTTAGGGGTCTACGCCCCAGACATGTCTAAGCCCACTTATATCCGAGAGCAGTTTTGGGAAATGGTAAGGATGGTGTTAATGAAGTGTAAGGGAAATGAAAATATTATTATGCTAGGAGATTTTAATGGAAGGGTTGGGGTCAGGAGGCTTGGTTATGAAAGGATATTGGGAACGTTTGGTGATGAAAGTATAAATGAGAATGGTGAAAGTCTCCTCACCGTATGTATGGAAAAGAATCGTTTTGTGACGAACACTTGCTTTCGCCACAAGAGGATTCAAATGTATACTTGGGAAAGAGGTGACGATAGAAGCATGATAGATTTCATAATTGTGGATCAAAGATTGAGGGGCGCAGTGGTAGATACACGAGAGTTTACCGGGGTTCTAACGTAGGAACGGATCATTATTTAGTTTTATGCCAAATTAATGTTACAGCGTATTAGAACAGAAAGGTTACAAGATGAAAGTGATAAAAACAAGTTCAAATATAGACTGAAAGAAAATATAAGTGGTTTGGATGGATTATGTATGAAGGAGTTAGACTTGGAGAATATATGGCAAAATGTAAAGAAAAGTTTAGTGGATGCAGCTACTGAAGTATGTGGTGTTAGTAAGAGAAAGAATGAAAGGAAAAATAATACGTTATGGTGGGATGATGAGATACGTATGAAAGTTGAAGCAAAGAAGAGAGCATGGCTAGATTTACTAGCAACAAAGGCTGCTAATTCTAGTGGTACGAATGGTGATATTGAAAGAAAAGGCAGTCTTTAGATATCTTAATAAGAGAGTAAAAGAAGTAGTTGAAAGAAAAAAGCAAGAAAGAACGGATAAGAATGATAGAAGAATATCGGATAACTTCCAGGCAAATATTAAAATGTTCTGGAAACTTGCAAGAACTGCCAGGGGACATTCAAAACAGCCTATGATGAATGCTATAAGAGACGAGAATGGCTATATTCTGAATGATGAAGTTTTGAGTTTAAAGAGATGGAAGGAATATTTTGAAAGCGTCTTTATGAGTGAGGAGACAACGTGTGAACTAAATAAAGTAGAAAGTCCGAAAAAAGAGGAAGAGGTAGCGAGATAAGTATGAAGTAAAGAAAGCAATGAAAAGCATGAAAGCAGGTAAAGCTGCCGGATATGATAGAGTTTCACTCGAAATGCTAAGGGCTGGAGAGGAAGTGGTGGCAGGCCTGCTGCACACCTTGTTTAATTTATGCTGGGAACTGAAGCGGGTACCGGTAGACTGGTGCAAAGCCGTGATAGTCCCAGTATATAAAGGAAGATGGTCGCAGCGGGACTGTAAAAACTACCGTGGCATCAGCCTTCTTAGCATTGTGGGAAAACTGTATGCTAAGGTACTGATTGAAAGGGTCATGAAAGAAACTGATGGAAAAATTTGGGAAGTGCAAGCGGGATTTAGAAAGGGAATGGGATGTACAGATCAAGTCTTTTCCATGCGCATGATCGCGGAGAAGTTTCTGGCCAAAAACCAAAAGGGTTTTTATGCATTCATGGACTTGGAAAAGGCCTATGATAGAGTGGATAGGGATTTGCTATGGCAAACACTGAACTCATTTGGGTTGAGCGCTGGCTTGATACAGGCATTGAAGTCTGTTTATAGGGACTCTAGTGCTTGTGTTAGGATCAACGGGGTCTACTCGGACTAGTTTGACATCCATAAAGGTGTCAGACAGGGCTGTGTGGCTTCCCAGTGGCTGTTCAACCTATTTATGGACAGTTGTTTGCAAAATTTGAAAGTTGAAGAATGCGGATTAAGAATGGGTGAGTTAACCGTCAAATGCCTTTTGTACGCCGATGATCAAGTTATTCTTGCGTCGTCGGCGGCCGAGTTGCAAATGATGGTTACATTAATGAACGGATCATTAAAAGAAAGGGATGTGAAAGTGAACGCAAGTAAGACGAAGGTTATGGTTTTTGAAAGAAAAGAAAGTAAAACGATTTGTGAAATAAGAATAGAAGGGGAGTTGATCGAGCAAGTAGATGAGTTTATAAATTTGGGCTGCGTATTTAGCAGGGATGGGAGATATGATAAGGATATAGAACGAAGAGTGAATGCGGGAAATAGAGTAAATGGGGCCTTGCACTCTATTGTGAAGAGTCAAAATGTGTCGAAAAAGGCACGTATGGCAATTCACAATGCTGTGTTGGTCCCTACTTTAACGTATGGTAGTGAAAGTTAGGTGTGGCAGAAGAAGCACGAGAGTAGAATAAACGCAGTAGAAATGCGGTCGTTAAGGAGTATGTTAGGGCTGAATCTGAATGACAGGGTAAGATATTGTGTAATAAGAGAAGAGTGTGGTTTGCAAGATGATATTGTGACCAGGATTAAGAAAGGAATGCTTCGGTGGTTTGGTCATGTGGAAAGAATGAATGAGGAAAGAGTGACAAAGAAAATTTATGGTGCAGAAGTGAATGGCAGAGTCGGAAAGGGACGTCCTAGGCGAAAATTTATCGACCAAATTGGCGATTTATTGAAAAACCAAATTAGGAGTACCCTTAACCGACGAGCATGTATGCGTAGGTGTATGGATGTGAAGTAGGCAAGAGAGGTTTGTCAGGATCATGCCAAATGGAAGTCTGTAGTCTCTGCCTACCCCTCTGGGTGACAGGCGTGAGTGTTTACAGTTTTATAGATAGATAGTCTTTATGAATTTGCATGGAATTGAGATAACTCCAAATAAGTACCTACATAGTTATTTAAAATTTGTATCAATTAGGTAAGCAGCGATTCAGCAAACAAATAGGTCATATTATAGACTGAAACGAAAACAACTGCTGTGGAATAAAATAGAATAGAAAAGAATAATTTTATACAGATTACATGCAATTCTTACTGAAAGTAATTTTTATTTTTAAAATTTTTCAGTAAAGTTTATGAAAAAATTTACCTCCTGAAAAACCTAGCAAGAAACACAGCGGGACTTTTTTAAATGAATTGTACAAATTGAAAAGTTTTACAAACTATTTACAAAATTCATTTTAAAAACAGCTTCAAAGCTCATTCCCAGTAATTATTATCAACCATGTATTCATTTATGTTATAATAACCCTTTTTATACAATTTTTATTTAAAAATAAGTATTTTAACGTTGGTAATAGAGAGACCTAGCATATTTTCTGAGACTTTGTAGTAATAGCGTATACATTGCCCCAGCAGGGCCAAACTGATTTCACTAGCTTGTATATCACTTTTTTTTTTAAATTAAAATTACTTTTGTTTTTGTGAACTTACTGGTTGATCAATAAGCTTTTGGAAATGCAATGAAACTATAGAAACTCTTTAAAGCTAATACAGCTTGAATAGCGTTGTGTCAGTAGCTTAATTCTCTTGGAAAAATTACTGTTGTTGGTCGCCCGGAGTGAGTGTCGTCTTGCAGGCGGTTCTGCCGCGTTTAAACTCAGCGCACCAGTATGCCACTGAAGAATAGACGGGTCATTATCTGCCAAGGAAGACTGCAGTTCTTTAAAAACAATTTTTGTAGAAAAAAAATATTCAGGCAGTAATATTTGATAAGCGTACGAAGTTCTCCATTTTTCATACGAATCAAAATCAGACCTATCGCATATTGCACACCATATTCCTTCGCTGAACAATTTATTTTACGTTTAGCGTAAACTACATGATTAACCATGATTAAAGAGTAGTATACATCTATCAGAAGCAAGGAATATCTACAGGAAGATCTATCGAAGATAAAAGATGGCTATGGTATTTTATGATAACCATGGGACGAATTCAAGTTGACCAGTATTCTTACGCCGTCATCACAAAGCAATATACATCTTTTTAATATTTTTTAAGGATTTCTTGTAATTAAGGTTTGACACATAACAAAGACATGTCATACAAGAAATAGAAATAAGGCATGTGTCACTTTACTTAATAGCAACCACGGAAAGCTAGGAGAATCCTAAGACAGAATAAAAATATAAAAACTGTTATTAATCTAAACAAATAACAGAAATTATTAAAAGTAACAGAAATTATTAATCTATATAAAAAAACAGAAATAAACAAAAACCGATAATTTACATAACAATAAACAAAATGATTAACTAAGCTACAATGACGATTACCCATGAAAATCCTTAATCAATGTCCAAGCATTTGATTTTGAATGGAGTGGACAAAATTTTGTATTATTTGACTACAAAATGGAGTATATTTAAAATATTAAGAATAACAAGGAAACAGCTCTAATGATTATATCCGTAAACGTAGTAAAAACACATCTCAATAGGCGTTCATGCCTTCTATACAGTTTTTTTTTTTAATAACAAGAGCCATAAACATCATTAGGAAACACTTATAATAATATACAAATACACAATCAATGTTTTACATAATGTATTGAAGATGATTTACTTTTTATTCAGAATCAAGCTTTATAAGAAGTTGATTTATAACCTCACGTTTATCTTTTTTACAGTACAAATAAAATAATTTAATACAGTGCGCGTTCATTAAATAATTTTTTTTTCGTAACCGAAACTTTATTCAGACAGAATATTAGAGCAAGGCCTCCACTTTTTTTACTTAGTATCGCACCTTTGATGCGACTAACGTAACTTCGAGAACCGGACACCCATTTAACTGGTGGCGAGGTATTCCCAAGGGCGATAACTCATCTATAT